CCATTTTTAATTGGTTATTTCTCTTTGTTACATAGTTGTAAGATTTTATATATCTTATGTCTCACATCATCTTCCCAACACATTTCTATGTAAACAGTCAATTCTGTTCCATTGTTTTATGGGTCTGTCCTCATATAGGTCACACAGTAATAAAGACTGACTGAAGTTGTGGTACATGGTGCTATGCTCGCTTTTCTTATTTGAGTACAGAGTAACTCAAATAAGTTACTTATCTCAGTAAGTCCTACTGTAATAAAGGGTAAAATTTATGATTCTTTATAATAGTATCTTTGTGATTAGTATCTTTGTGGTTAGTATAATACCTAGTATTACAGGTTTTAAAAGTGAAACATAAGTCCTTGAACTTTGTTCTTTTTTCAAGATTGTTTTGCATATTCTGAGTCTGTTGAATTTCCATATAAACTTTATGTCTAGCTGACCTGTGCCTGCCAAGAAACTGGCTGAAATTTTCATGAGATTAGTGTTGAAAATCTGTAGCTTAATTTGAATATTGCCCTTTTGACAAAGGGGAGCCTGCGTCTTCCCTTTCGTGAATATGGTTGGCTTTCCATTTAATTCTTTCTTTATTTTTCTTGAGACAGGGTCTTGCAGGCTAGACTTGGACTTACTATGTAGCCCAGGTTGCCCTTGAACTCCTAGTTATTCTCCTGCCTCAGCCTTCCAGGTGCTGGGATTATAGGTGTATACCACCTCACCAGGCTGAGTCTTCCATTTCTTTATACAGTGTTTTGCAGTTGTAGGTATACAAACTTTGCACTTTTTTTTTTTTTTTACTGAATTTACTTATAAGTTTTATTAATTTTCATGCTATTATAAATAGAATTGTTTTCTTAGTTTCATTTTCATATTCCTCATTGCCACACTGAGTAGAAATACAGTTGATTTTTTAATGTTGAGCTTATATTGTGAAGTCTTTCATTTATTCGTTCTAATGTTTTTTTTATTTTAGAGAAGCATCTACAGGGTGTTCAGGGTCTCACTACTTGATGGGACTCGTAGTGATCCGCCTGTTTACAGCCTCCCAAGGCTAGTTCTAATCCACTTTTGTTAGATTTCTTAGGGTTTTCCACATACAATGCTATGTATTGCTTTTGTCAGTTTGGATGCCATTTATTTCATTTTTTTTTATTTAACGGCTAATCTAGACTATCCAGATATTACTGTCCCCTTTGCCTTTCTCCTCCTCTTCTTCAGTTCTAGAAGTTTTTATTTGACTTAGTTGGTATTGATAAATTAACCATACCTCAATTTTTCATTCTTTGTATAAATGTTCCCTTAAATGAAGATAGTAAGCAGCATTGAATTGTAAATATTGGTCATTGTTCAGTGTTCTATAATTATTTTTTACATTATAAGTGTAATCTATAGTTGTAAAGCTCAAACTTTATTGCTCTTAAAAATTTTTCAAATATGTCCTTAATCAGTTAACCACATTTTTCCAACATTTTAGTTTGCTTCATACTTATGTCCCGCCTTATACAGCCTCGAGCTTTGGTGTACCTAACTGCTTTCTTTCCCTCCCTCTTAGTAGGAGAAGCTAATCCTATGCTGTTATCATTGTATCCTGTGTATTTTCTGGCTTCTGATGTATTCTTTTGGGTAATGGGAAAATTTTTCATTAAATGCAATAAACTGAAAACTGAAACTTTAAAATGGCTTCTAAAAACAGCAATACTTAAAAGTTAATTTCATGAGTAGTACATAAGACCTCTCCCCTATAAATAAAAAGTACCAGCTGAGCATGGTGGCGCATGCCTGTAATTCTAGCACTTGGCGAGCTGAGGCACAAGAATTGCAAGTTGGAGTTCATACTGAGCAATTTAGCAAAATAAAAGGTATCTGTTGATTTGGACTCAGTGGTACAGTGCTTGCCTAGCATGCATGAGCCGCCAGTTCAATACTCAAAAGAAAAATAAATAAATAAATACCATCAACAACTCATTTTATTTAAAAAAATTTTTTTAAAGAATACAAAATAGTAGAATACTATTAGAAATGATACAAAATTTCATTAAACAAAGTAATAGGAATCCAACTGTGGTTGCTATATTATATGATGTTATCTTAAATTCCAAGTCATTTTTAGCAAAGCAAGGAAAATCAGTTACCAATACAGCATTAATTAAATGGTGTTTGATTACAGCAGCATAAAGAATGAGTCCAAAGATTATTCTACATTTGTTTAGAACAGTTGTCCAGAACTTTGGGAGCAACCTCTATCTCAATTAAAGAACAGGCAAATGATGTTGAGTGTGTGTCGTTGGCTTTTACAGTTACTAACAGTAATGAGCTGTTTTTTGTTTTGTTTTTTTTTTTTTGCAGAACCAGGGATTGAACTCAGGCCCTTGCGCTTGCAGGCAAGCGCTTATTCTACTAAGTCATCTCCCCATCCCCAATCAGCTGTTTATAAGAGGGTCAGTGCCAAGTTTTTGTTTGTTGTTTTTTAAAATTTTTTGTATTTTAGGAAAGGATCTACAGGGTGTTCAGAGTCTCACTACTAGATTGGACTCTTAGTGATCCGCCTGTTTACAACCTCCCAAGAGCTGAGATTACAGGTGTGCACACCACCACACCAGGTCCCAATTGCTCTCTCTGCAAACCCCAGGGGCGGGGCCTGGGAATCAGACCCCCAGCCCCAGTGCCTGCTTTAATCTGCTGAGCTATTAGGCCCCGCCCGCCCTGTTTGTTGTTAATTTTTGAGACATGCTTTTGCTATTCAATTCAGGCTGACCTTGAGCTCACTTTGTAGCCCAGGCTTGTCTTGAACTCCCAGCAATCCTCCTTTCCCAGCCTCCTGAGTGCTGGGGTTACAGGCATGCACCACCACATCTGGTGATAGTGCTGAATTTGAATACCTGAAGAATCATCATCTCTAAGTTTGTGTTAACTGTCTTCAAAGGAGTTGAGAGAATAGCAATTTAGTATAATTTAAAGTTATCTGCTAAAATATTGGCAAAATATCTATGAGCAGAAAAAAGCTGAGTTGAGCAAATGTATAAAACAGAACAATGCAAGTTGTTTAAACCATATTGTTTATTGTCAAACTTTGGGCAGAATATTTGAATCTAACATGTTGAACCAGCGGTATAAACCACGAACAGCATTCGGTTGTGGACCTGACCCTCACTGTTTCTGTGAGTTTTTGTCAGAAGCTGATCACCACATAATATTACGGTTAGAAGACTTGATAGCAGTAAAGTGTTTCATAGTTTTTGAGCACAGAAATGAAATTGAATTTTTTTTTTGAGTGAGAAGAATGTCCCTCAGCCACTGTTAGTGAACTTGAATGGCTTTAGAAATCAGTTTTTGCTGGAGACGTGGTACTGTTTTTCAACTCAAATTTATGAGACAGATTTTACTAGTGAGAAACTTATACTGTGGTAAGATTATTTTGACAGTAATGTTTCAGTTGTGGGTAAGGTCATGTTACTGTATGTATTCCCCATGCTATGAAAAATTAAACTGATGTCTGTGATTTCCAGTCCTTCACAAATGTACAGCAGATATATTTTCTGAGCTCAATCTATAATTCCAGTAGTTTCCTTCTCTACTGGCCTTCTTATTGCAGATTTATACTTGTGGGGCTGGATTGGTCCTGGGGATTGAACTGAGGATCTTTACATGGAGCTACATCACCAGCGCGCTCTCTCTCTCTCTCTCTCTCTCTCTCTCTCTCTCTAATATATTTATTTATTTATTTGGTACAGAGCTTGGACTTATCAGCCCTTTGGTTTTAATCTTTGAGACAGGCCACTGAGTCGCTAAATTGCACACGCTGAGACTTGGATTTGTGAACCTCCTGCCTCAGACTCCGAGAAGGAGTACTGAGATTAGAGGTGTATATTATCATACCTGGCAAGATTTATACTTTTAAAAAGTTATTTTTCTGGATATGTAATCCCAGCTACTATGGAACATTGAAGCAAAAGAATCACAAATTGTAAAACAGCCCACACAACTTCTTAGTGAGACCATGTCTCAAAATTAAAAATGAAAAGGGCTGGGGATGTAGCTCAGTGTTTCCCTGGTTTAATCCCTAGAATCAGAAAAACAATTATTTTTATAATATTGAATTTCTAGAGGAAAGGAAATAAACATACTTGGCATATTGAACCACTAATAAAAGAAAAATACATGGACCCTTGATAATTTTATGTCAGGAGAAAATTCCATTTTGGTACTGAGCTTGAACAACTCTCCGTAAAACAGTTTCACTTATTCATTGTCTGCAGTGGTCACCTCAGTGTTGGGATGGCCCTTACATCCTGGAGCACAGTGTATCAGTAAAGAGATAGGCAAACAGTGATAATGCAGTGCCATAAATATAGTAGTGGAGATGTGTGCAAAGGCTGTGCGGGTATAGAAGAGGGGTGACTATTTTCATATGGGAGGAGGATGAAGACTTCACAAAAATGAGAGAATATAAAGCCAATCGTAGAAGTTAGAATCAGAAGTTCACAGGTTAGGGAGAGGGTACCCCAGGCATAGCATGCGCATGGGCAGGAAAGGGTGAGAGTTCATTGGAGACATCTGTTCAAGAGGAGTGTCAGGAGATGAAGTTCCCATGATAAGCTAAGGTGAGGTTGTGAAGGGCCCCATGCAGTGTGCCCTGAAAATCTGATTTGAGATGCAAATCTCTGGCTAGATGCAAGACAGTTGGCTTTAAGTTGTTTACTTGGGTGATAAAGTCAAATTATCTGATAGAGACATTTTCCATATACATCCTTACTTTTCTTGTTTTCTCAGTATGTTTGTAATATAAGAGCCAAAATGTAACACTTGGCTCGTGTATATTGAATTGAGACCTTACAGTTCGGGATTTTAGAAGTTCTCTCAAAGATTTTAAGAAGTATTGAAATGGTCTAAAAGGACAAATTTTACCTCTGTAAATGATAGTTATTTTTGTAGATTAAGTATTCAGTTAGCAAGCATTTGTGATTTTCTGAAGCTTTCACTTATTTATGTATTTATTTTTTTAGTGGACAGAAGACTGCAGAAAATCAACTTATCCGCCTTCTGGACCAACGTGAGTACATGCTAGATGATCAAAACTTACTCTGGGGCTAGCGAGATAGCTCAGCAGACTAAGCACCTGCTTAGGCAAGTGCAGGGCCCAGCGTTTAATCCCCACAACCACAGGCCACGTCAGTCCTGCCCTTAGGCACACTGAGCCTGCGACCAAGTTTGGGCATGGTGGTACATGCTTGTAATCGCAGCGCTGGGGAGGCTGAAAACAGGAGGACTTCTATGAGTCTGAGCTGCATAGTGAGACCCTGTACCAAGTGCATAAAATTTAAAACAAACAACAACAACAACAACAACAAAATCCTTACTCTGATCTGTGTGGCATAAGTAGTATTGTCATAGATATAATGATAGTGAATACAGCTTTCTCTGTGTCCTATCCTGAGACAAAGTTGAGTTTACCTAGGTTTGTATCTTATGTATTTGTTTACAATCTTGGACAAATATGAAAATAATCTATGATTAAAATGTCCATTTTTGTCTGATGAAAATCATAGCATAGTAAAGGATTTCTATTCTTCACTCACAGTTCTGTCTGCACTTGTCTTACTCATTGCAAATGCAAGGCCTGTATCCAGTCTGAGCTGTGATTCTCTGTGATGTAAGCCACCAACTAATACTGCAGCAGAAGGTGTTAGACCTCATATTTGTGATATTTAATAAATAAGCTTTGATTTGATAAAGTTATTGAGGATAAAATAGTATTGGAAAATATAAGAGAAGGGACAATGTCATCATGTTTCAGTGTGTCTAGCATTTTTAGTCTAAATTTAGATCTTTCTAGTTCGTAACAGTGAAATGGGCTCATGCAAAAAGACAAAGCTCTCCCGTTCCTGGTACAGAATGTAAAAAGGAAAGAAAGCTTTAGCGATTGGTCATCTTTTCTTTTCCAAGTTCTTTCCCATCATTGAAAATAGACTGCTGAAGAAAGCAGGGAGGCAGAGTACAACTTCCACCATAACGTCAAGATGACATCTTCACATTTTGTAACAACCCAAACTGTATCCTAGTGCTCTTTTCTAAATTATGTAGGCTAAGTGGCTTCTGTCCCAGTATCCGGGGGACACTGGAATATTGGAATGACAGTCACATCATCCTTGTGTGCATCTGAATTCCACTGAGTACTATTTTCTGCTGCTCACTGCTTTGTACACATGTGTCTTGTGCCATTGGGCTGATTTTCAAGCCACCAGAGTCAATGTAACTGATATTATGGAGACCTGGGTATAGATAATGCTAAGTCTCAAAAAGGACTTAAATGATACTGATTGAAGGTAGTGAAGTAGAAGTGTTCTAGGTAATTAGTATTAAGTGAGAAACAATTACTATTGATTGAGCAAAGCTGAATCCTTTTGATTTACTTCTTCTAACTTACTCACCTATCTTAGGCAGATATTTTGGCAACCATCATCAATGTCCTGTACTGAGAAGGTGCGTTTTCAAGTGCATCTTCTTCCATCATGCTCATCTGTGACCTGTTCTCATAAGTTTTTTTTTCGTCACCACTGGCACCAGGCTGTCCTTCGCTGCCATATTAATTTTACCACTCTTGGCTGGTTTCACTATCTCAATTCACTGAACTTTGTATGAGTATCTTCCACCTTTAAGGGCTTTTATCTGCTCTCTTTTATTTAACATGTAATTTGTGAATTGGTTGCTATCCAAATTATAGTCCTTCCCTGAATGGGAATTTAGTTGGTTCCAGTTTACTCTGTGTGTGTGTGTGTGTGTGTGTGTGTGTGTGTGTGTGTGTATGTGTGTACACATATCAATGTATATATCTAAACTCATGTACATTTATATACATATAAAACATGCATATATGTTTCTCTCCTTGCCTTGAGATTTCTGCTAGATATCTTCCTATCTGACTGGCTTGGTTTCCCATACAAAAATCCTTTGTCCTGCTCTGATCCTTATCTCCTCAGAGCTATTTATGGGTTGTTTTTTTTTTTGTTTGTTTTTTGTTTTTGCGGAACCGGGCATTGAACTCAGATCCTTGCGTTTGCCAGTCAAGCGCTTATCCTACTGAGCCATCTCCCTGGCCCTATTTATGGGTTCTTGAGGATTAGGACTGAAGTGTGGCCTGTGTGTGCATTTGAAAATGGCAGTCCTTACACTCTTGGAGCTCATCCTTTTCAACCAAGTGCATAGATGTTTGTGGTTTGCATGGACACCATGAGGGAGGAAGGAGTCTGCTGTTCACCTAGCCTGAAAGTCACATCAGCACCGAGATCTAAGAACCAGAGCCTCTTCACCCTGTGTTCAGCTGAAGGCACTGAGGATTTTTTCTGCTGGTCTCTGGGCTCTTGGCCCTGTTCTTCTGTTTGTACATGTGTTTGCTGTATTACCAGGACTAGAATCCAAGCCACCTGGGGAGCCATGTGGGTTTGATATAATGATGGCCAGGACACAGCAAGTGCTGTCTCAAAAATGATTAAGTTAGGACCAGGAATATAGTCCCATAAGATAGATACTCTTCCTGTAGGAAATTGAGGTACAAGTGTTAAATAATGAGATATTTTTTCAAAAAATTAGTGAGAACTGAAATATGAGATTATATTAAAGTTTAGTTTTTAAAATAATTTTGTTAATCAGATTAGCTGGTTCTCAAAACATTCCAATTAGAGATTTTATTATAAAGGTTTCTAAAGTCTCACTATGCCCACAAAATGATAATCTTCTATTGTAGTGACCTCATTTCCTTTCTGAAATCCTTGAGCCTACCCAATACTCCAGATCAGAGAAGAATCAATAATTTATGGCAGATTTAGGAGCATTATTTGGCTTTCTGGTGTTACGAGGGAAGGAGCAGTTGATTGGAGTTCATACCTTGAACACATACTTACAGTAGTGCAATCAAGATACACAGCTCCGTAGGGCCACTGGTTTTCTATGCCACTAGACACAGAAACCCAAATGCATGCTCGTGAAGATAGGTAGGTCGTAGTGTCTGCTCATGAGAAGGGCAACAGGTGACTGAATTGTGGGACCAAGTTTTTGCAGGTGAAATTATTCATTCGGAAATGGCATTATATATTGTGACAAAAACCTAATTTCTATGAGTTAGTTATTATATTTTGTGATTTTTTTAAAGGAAATATCAGTTCCTGAGGAACTGAGTGACTTAAAAGTGTTTTGAGAAAAATAAAATTCATTTATTGCAGTTTTATATATATGTGTTTGCAAATTGAGCGTGCTTCTCTAACTAATCTCATCATTAAAGACTACTGGCTTATAGTTTCACAAAAGTTTATATATACATTAGGGTCTAAACTGAACAGTAGTATTTAGAGAACCAGAAGTTCATGACAGAAGTTGTATATGTAGAAGCCCAAGAAGTGACTTTTAGGAAATAAACTACCCCATTCTGTAGACATAAGGCTAGGCAACACTTTAAGAGCAGCATACATCAGGCTGCACTGTACCCTGATGGCTATTTTTAGGCATAACTTACTTTGATAAGTCACTCAGTGACACACCCTTAATAGCTATTCCAGGTTGGTAAAAAGTGCCAGAAAATTACATTTTTGTGGTCACAGATATTTATAGAATTCATCCATCTAGAAATATAAGCCATCTTCTTTTTTATTTTTTGGAAAACCGGAGATTGAATTCAGGCCCTTGCACTTGCCAGGGAAGCACTTATTCTACTGAGCCATCTTGCTGGCCCTCCCATCTCCATTTTTAATGGAGTGGACATAATTGTGTTCTCCTAAAGATTGCTATGAATTAGAGTAGGAAGTTTGAGATTGAATATGGTAGAATAATGCTTGGCCTGGGACTGAATACAGAGAAGTGAGGACAGAAGTGTATCCTAGAAAAGATTAGTTTGGATCAGAGAATTGTGGAAGTTCTTGAAGCCAGACTTTGGAAGTTAATGTTCATTGCCACTCTAAGGCTTATGTGAGTCAGTAATAATATTAGATTGCATGAGAGATAATTCCGAGACTCCAGATCCAACTAGAGAAGTGTGTACACCTAGACTAAATCTTTGCCAATATGTAAAAAGAAAAAAAAATGGGGTTGTTTTTGCTAGTGATATTTAGCTCTTGAGCCACAGTTCTTTCACATATCACCAAATCAATAAATCTTATAGAGTATAATTCTATGTCAAGATTTCTAAGACAACTTAGAATTCGATGTGCCAACAGAGGGCAGAAACACTAGATGGAAACTGGGCCTTCTTTCCAAATTTTGTTGGTGTAACAATCTGTATAGAGTTATTAAGCATATGTGTCTAAAATATCCTTTAGAGATGTAGCTATCTGGCCCCTCAAGAAACTGGTTTCAGCATTTCAAGGTAGCACACATCTCGTTACAGCTACAGAGGACCAGTTCCATGGTATACCATAAATCTTGATTTACCACCCTACAAAAGATGGCATGCGTTAATGGCTGACAAGGGACCAATGGTAGGTACGCTACCATTCTTCAGGCTTCTCTTTCTTACTTTACTGAGTATAACTGCATTTTTAAAAAAACACTTTAAAAAATTAACACCAAGTAGTTTCAAAATGTGCTTTCGATAGTTTTCTAGCATGTATGGTAAATGGAGGAAAAGATGTTATGTAGCGTCCTGTTCTTTGATAGACTATTTCCCATCTTCCTTCACCTGCGTGATTGAACAAATGCCATTTAAGATAAAATTGGGTTAAAAAAATAGCACTCTCTCTTTGACTCAGCTGTATATGGGTTTCTGTTTTCATTATACTTACATTAATCTTAGATATTATTCCACATCATTTACATGTTTTATTAATTTTTTTCAGCTAAGGATTATAGTGAATTCCATAAAGAATATGGTAAATACGTTTGTGCCAAGTGGAAAAGTTATGCAGATGGTGGATCAGAAGTTGGTAAGAAATATTTCCCATAACGAATTTTAAGTGCACATGCGTGCGCACGCACACACACACACACACACACACACGTGCACACACATATATACACACACACACACAGAGTTCAAAAATACTCAAGATTTATTGAAAGGTATAAGTTAACAACCTCTTGTCAGGAACTTGGGGCATATTTGCATTTATTCTGATCACTGTAAAACTTTAGAGAGAAAAAAACTTCAGAGAGGCTTATATTTGGCAAGTAGTAATATTAGAGTGACATTGCAGACCATGAAAAATTTTATCAGTTTGATACACTTTGAAAGTAAGGACTGTTTTACAGTGCAGACAATATGTACTTTTTACCTGAAAGTATGGAATTTCTTCTTAAGGTTCAGTTCACTATTGAAAACTTTCTTTTTATTGGGTATAGAGCTCAGGGTTAGAAAGCCATGTTTAGCATGCATGGTACCCTTGATTTCATCTCCAGCTCCATTAAATAATAGATAAGATAAAATAAAAATCTTGTTATCCTAAGTACTTTGCCCAAGAGTCTCATTTATGACCAAATGCCATACTCAGCCTAGCATTGTGTCCTTTGGAGGACCCAGGGCTGCGACTCCTGAAACTCAGCTTAGCTATTTCTTGTGGTTGTGCAATCATCAGACCATCTCATTTTCTTCCTGGCCATGCAGGAAAACTTAACTTCTCAGCCTTTTTTTAAATGTAGGTAGAAACAATTGAGCACCTAGAGTCTGGCCCCTAGAACATCCAAAAAAACCCACATTACCTTCTCTGTCTTTACTGCAGGGTGCAGAGGTCTGGGGGAAGATCCTAAGGCCCTAGGGCATGACATCGGGGGTTGAATAATTGTTTGTTGTGGGGGCAGTCCTGTGGACTGTAGGGTGTTTATCAGCATCCCTGGCCTCAATCCACTGATTGCTGGTAATACTCCCAAGGTTGTGGCAACCAACAGTGTCATAAGACATTGCCACATCTCTGTAGGTCAAGAATTACTGTACCAGAGGCTAGATGTTCTGTTCTCTTCCCTGTGACACTGCACCTGGCACCCAGCAAGCCTGTTAGCTTGTTTATGATCTCAGTTCTTGATTAAGGCTGTCCTTTATACTCATACTTACCAGACTTTCCCAAAAATAAAAATTGACAGGAGAAAAATAATACATCCTCATATATTACGTGTGCTGTAGCTCCTCTTCTACTCTGGTTGTCAGTAGAGAGGGCTTGGTTTCGGTGTTGGGGGTTTTAGGCCACATCAGTCCACACATGTATGAAATTGCAGTTTTTTTCATCAGGGAGAATAATAGTAATAATATATGTTTCTCATGGTGGTTGTTAGGATTAGATAACAAATTCTTTTAAAGTATTGTGCTTGGATATAATAAATGTTTGATAAATGTCACAATTAAGTCATGTTTATTTGTTAAACTGCCTGGAGCATTTCACTTATGCATGCTTCTAATTCATAGGGAGAAATTATGTTAAATTATGTCACATTTCTTGTTCACAGGGGGGCTGTGAACTTAAATTGCCATCTCAGATTTATCAATTACATAACAAAAGGTTTCATGAGTGCTTAGAATGGTACAGGTCTGTTGCTTTTGGTGGAGGGTGAGTGGTCTCATTACCTAGTTGATGTAAGATAAAAACTTGTGAACTTTAACCACATTGTCTCAGCAAGAGGCTGGGAACTGAAATTGCCATCTCAGGTTTATCAGTTATGTGACAAAAGGTTTTGTGAATAACTGGAACAGTGCAGGTTTGTTGCTTTTGGCTAGAGGGTGGATGAAGTAGGAATAAGAAGTCCTTGTTATAGAACATGCTTGGATTGGGTGGTGTGAGGTCACGTAGGTGGAGTGATTCCAGGTACCACTCGAGAATAGAAGAAAAGCCAGGCAGGATAAAGCAGCTGAAAAATCATGCTTCTATGTATAGGTGCCCAATACTAACTATTACGTAGATTCTTTTAGAAATTTATGATTATAAAAATGCTTTAAAAGTGGTTTATCACCTATTGTGGTAGCAATGTCTGGAACAAATTGTATGTCAGTGTACCCTATCTAAAAGCATGCGTTGGGGATAATTGTTAATGTATTTGTTTTCAGCCCATTCTGCTTGGTCAGTTTTCTGATCCTTATGAAGAGGAAATGAAAGGAATTGCAGATGTTACTGGGATACCCTTAGGTAAACTTTACAATGGTTTGAACCTTGAATAAAACATGTTGAGGAATGATGTACCTGAAGTGCACAGATACTAGGTAAACAGCTCACCATTTTAAAGATGTGTGTCCATGCATTCAGTCACAGCTCAGACGACGACAGAAAATGTGGGCACCACAGATGTGCCATCATGGCGCTCTGCAGACAGCACTGCCCCCTTAGATAACTAGTATTCTGGCTTCTCCGTAATTTTGCCTCCTTTTAAATGAATTAAAAATAGAACTAAACATCTGAACTGTTGTATGTGATTTCTTGCACTTATAAGTCGTATGCCGTTCTATAAATAAAATATTTGAGTTTTCAGATTTTGAATATTAAGAATAAGACAGTTGTAGGTTTTAGGTTGTGAACATTGTACATAACCTTTTTTGTTTGGTTTTTGGGGTGTGGTTGAGACAGGGCTCCCTCTATATAGTTCAGACTATTCTTAACTTATTATGTAGCCCAAGCTGGCCTGCAAATTGTACCTGTCCATCTGTCTCAGCCTCCCTGTTTCTGGGCTTACAGGCATGTACCTCCATGTCTGGCCAGTTAGATATATCTTTTAATATAAATATACATTTATTTCTCTTGTAGGTTTATGCTTAGGATGGGTTATAGGATGAGTTGTAGATTTATGCTTATCTTTGTAGATTTTTGCGTTTCTACTTAGGAAGTGAACTTTTGGGTTGTATGGTATCTGTGTACTTAGCCTTGTAGAATGTACAAAACAGTGTTTTAATTTTATTGTGTTGATTAATAGCATTAATGGGTATTTTAATTTTTCTCCACCTATTATTTTTCTACCTGCTAATATGTCTTTCATATTTGAGCCGTTTTGTAGAGAGTCATGTTTAACCCATTGTCATTGCCATTTACATTTCCCTGATGACTAATGAAATTACTAACCTTTACAGCTTATTGACCTTTTTCTTTTCCTTTTGTCTGTTTTTTATTTGAGGTTCTTTTGCTGGGGGAGGGGGTAGAGTTAGAGTATGTGTTTACTAAGATCTTTTGCTTATTTTCTCTTTGTTTGAAATAATTCATTGTATGTTTTGGATACAGGGTTTTTTTAAAAAATGTTTTTTAGTACAGGGTCTACAGTGTCTCACTACACAGATCAGACTCATAGTGATCCTCCTGTTTTCAGTGTTCCAATAGCTGGGATTACAGGCATGCGCCACCACATCCAGTCTCAGTTGCCATCTTCGTGTGCCCTGGAGACGGGGCCAGCATGGCACATGGGATGGAACCACAGTCCCTGTGTCTGCCTAAGCAGGTGCTTTAGTCTGCTGAGCTATCTGACTGGACCTATATACTACTGTCTTCTGATGAACAGAAATTCTTAATGTTAATGACATCTTAATTTTTCAGTCTTCCTTTATTAGTGGTGTTCATTCAAGAAATTTGCCTAACTGAAGGCTTCAGTTGATGTAATACCATTTATTTAAAAACTATACTTTGTTAGTAAATCACAACATTATTTTTCATGTAAATGGGGTGACTGTATATTGTTAGTACCATTTGGAAACTTTCTATTAAGTTTCATTTATTTGCTTGGCTTTCCTTACAGCAATATCATGTTACCTCAATTATAAAAGTTTTACCATAAGTTTTAAAAATATTCATTGTAACTCTTTGAACTCTGCTTTTCTTCATATATTTCTCTTGGCTATAGAGGCCTTTTGCATTTACATGTAAATTGTAGAATCAGCCTATCAGCTTTCTATAAAAATAAGTAAATAATAAATAAGTTTTAAAGAATATTGAATCATTTATGTACTGATGTTCTTCTATGCCATTTTTAAAGTTTCTATTTCCAATTTTTAGCATTTACTGAAAAAGACTTTACCACTACTCCAAAAGTTTTATTTTTAAGCTGCAAAAGCACTAAAGTCATTACTTTATATAGCCGGTAGTACCTTGGTTTTATAAGATGACATCTGTAAGAGATGACTGAGAGTATCTGATAGTTAGCAACAAAGCAGGCTAGTTTTTTATTGCCTTAACATTTTTTTTAAGCTTAATGAATTTAAGTGCAGTCCTTGCACAGGGGCCATGCTAATCTTCTCTGTATTATTCCAATTTTAGCATATGTGCTATCAAAGTGAACATTGTTGCTTTAGCATTTAAAAATAGTCAACATGCTAGAAATAGGAATTTGCAATCTATATGTAAAACAAGTCTTTAATTCTTTTATTATGTGAAGAATTCTAGTAAGTCATTATCAAATATGGTTGTTTTTGGAGAAAATGTTGATTAATAGAACATTCATCATAAGAGTAAAGTTTCATCAAAGTAGATATTAAATAGATAAAAACATAGGGCAGTAGAGATAGCTCAGTGGCATAAGTGCCTACCAGGCAAGTGCAAGGCCCTGAGTTCAATACCCAGTACTGGAAAAAAAAAACAAACAAACAAAAAAAAAAAAACAACACATTGGATTGGTATAGAAAATATACTAACCTTAACCTGTTAACATTAAATGGGACAGAGACAACATGTGCTTCTATACCTTCAGATTAATTGTTAAATGATATTATATAGCTTTGGAAAAAATATTCAAAAATTTAAAAATGCTCTACAATGGACTTTCTTGGAAGCTCTGAACCGCTATTACTAGTTGTGGCTCCCATTTCTCCCCTTAGAAATGGTAGTCACAGTTTAAAAATCTGAGCAAAATCCATGTTCAGAATGCAGAGACAAGCTAGACATTTAGAGTGTGAGCAGCCTAGAGATCTACATTGATCACCATGTCTGGTGAAAACTTCAGACATGTTAAAGTGCAATTCCAGCTGGTCAGATACGGTAGCTGCCTTTTCAGAGAAGTGTTCTGTCCTCAGTCTAGAGGGTCCAGGTAGGTAAAGGACACTGCCATGAGCCGTGTTTCCTAACACACTCGGATTGTCCTGAGGCAGTGTTATACACCAGTGCCTGTGCGCACGTGTACACACACACACACACACACACACACACACCCACCCCTGCAGTGAGGGTTTATTTTCTTAAACTACAGGGAGGGGTGTGCAGCCCTGTGGTACACAGTGTGTCATTAGCATGGCACGTCTGAATTTAATTGAAAGCAGCACAGAAACTGAAAGAACCGTTTTTGTGTACTGTCATGGTTCTGTGTATTAACAACAGTTTTTCTTCTATTTTCTTACAGGAGAGATTATTTCATTCAACATTTTTTATGAATTGTTTACCATGTGCACCTCAATAATAACTGAAGACAAGAAAGGTAAATGTGTGCAGAGAGGAGGTGGGCAGTGCAGAGTACTATGTGAAAGAAAGGTCTTCTAAAAAGTGCAATTAAAAGCATTAAAATCCAGGCTGGCTGTGTAAGTTCTGTGTATGTTATATACAACTTTATGTATTTTGTTGAATTTTTCTTTTTTCTTTTTTTGTCTTTTGAGACAGGGTTTCCCTGTCAGTTCAGGCTGGCCTTGAACTCCCTTTATAGCCCAGGCTGGTCTCAAACTCATATTGATCCTCCTGCCTTTGCCTCCTGAGTGCCGGGATTATAGGCATGTGCCACCACACCCAGCTCTTTTGTTGAATTTTTCTGAGTGCTTTGAAAATTAGCCCTATTTTCTTACTTATTTTTATTATTATTGTTATTAGCAGTTTTGGTTTTGAGAAATGAATTGAGTATCTTTCCTCTGAGCTAGATTCCTGAAGCATGATTATTCTTTATTTAAGACAGGATCTCACTGAATTGCTAAGTTATCCAGCTTGGGCTGGAAGTAGAAATCTTCTGCATCAGCCTCCCAGAGTAGAACCAGCATTACTTTAAGACTACTATACCACCTTCAAAGTTTAATTCAGGCATACAAAGGAAGAAAAATGGAAGAAGCATTTCAAGATTAAAAATTAACTGACTTTCCTCATAGTTTACCCCATCTGTGTGATGTGATAGGTGTCCTCATGGAGGCACTTCAGTATCTTCATACATGTAATGAGGAGGTTTTCTGGAGGCCCACAGATGACATTTCCCATCGTTTGCCTTCCATGGGACCCTTGTATAACAGCTTCCCTTTCCCATATTTTTCATGGCTGGTCCATACAGTACATAGCAGAAAACAATTTACCCTGATTTACTCTGAATTTTGACTTATATCCTGGGCCCAACATCTGTCTACACATAACTTTTTTTTTTTTTTAATATTTATTTATTTTTATTTATTACATTTATTTATTGTGTGTGTGTGTGTGTGGCCAGCTCAGCCCACCAGGGGGCGGGGCTGGCTGGCATGTGGTGCTAGAGGATTGAACCGCGGTCCCTGTGCTTTGCCAAGCTTGTTTCAAGTAGGTGCTTTAGACCACTGAGCCATCTCTCCAGCCCCTACACATAACTCTTGAGGTGCCTTGGGTAGGTCGTGGGGTTAAGGTACCTATGTCCTAATAGAACTCTGTCGTAGTTGGCCAAAGGATGCCCATTTACCTTTTTCCGTATTCTGTTCTAATCTAGAACCCATATAGTACTTTCAGGTTTGTGGAGGGTATCTTGCCAATGTGATAGTAACACAAGTTTGATCTTTTAAGGCTGAGACTGTCAAGTACCTTCTTAATCCTTAATCTTAATCCTTTTGTTGTGAAATATAACTGTGAATATAAGTTATCAAAAATAAAGCATGTAGCTGTGACTTAGAACCAGGTGTACTGCCTTAATTTACTACACGTCTCTTCTGCTTGCTTTGTAATAGGTCATCTGCTACATGTTAGAAACATGGATTTTGGAATATTTCTTGGGTAAGTAAGGAATATGGTATATATGGTTCCATTAAAAAATTAGACTATTACCGTGGTGGAAAGTCCCAAGTCATGCCCAAAATATGACAGTTGGTGCAGTGTGCTAGATTCCTTAGTGCTGACACAAGGTGGTATCCTTATCCACTCTGTAGGAGATTGTAGCTGAGAGGTTATTCCTTGTGAGCAGAAATGTACATTTTTTAAGTGTGAGGCTCATTAGTTATAATATAATCTGTATGACATCAAGAGAGTTAACTCCATTTCCAATCTGAGCCTCAGTGCCATGACCTGGGGAAGGGGCTAAAACCACCCTTAGTGAAAGGGTCTTGTTAGCCTTGATCATTAGTGAGTGCACCTCCTGTATTCTTTTATTCATCATTATTTTCATCAGTGTTCTTAAATATCATCAAAATTTGTCTTTTGTAGGTGGAACATAAATAATAACACTTGGGTCGTAACTGAGCAACTAAAACCTTTGTCGGTGAATCTGGACTTTCAAAGAAGCAATAAAACTGTCTTCAAGGCAACAAGCTTTGCTGGCTATGTAGGCATGTTAACAGGATTCAAACCAGTAAGGAATCTGTTGTTACCTAATTTTACAGGTTGTGTGTCCTGGTCTCACTATCTGTGAAGAGTAGACTCTAGAAAATGAGGACCAGAAAGACTTATAAAACCCTTCTTCCATCCCTCTTTACTTCTTGTCATTTTTGCTGGTATGCGCTCACATGGCAATGAAGAACAAAAAGGAAATGATTTCTGAGAGTGTTACAGGCTAAAAAGCATGTGGCTTTAGGCTTCAGGACTAAGCCAAAGCTGAGATCTGGCCTGGGTCTCCTGCTTACCCAGACTAATCAGGTGTGAGTTCCCTGCTCTGCTCTTCTATTTCCTGTCCGAAACATGTAGCCAGTAACGTTTCTTGCCTAACTTTGACTCACATACTAGATGTGAAAAAGCTTTGAACTGAAAAACAAAGAAAAGTGGTTAATATAAAGTGATTGCCAAGATTATGGGGCCAAAGAGGAAAGTGATCGATGACATAGAGTGGGCCTAAGGAGAGTCACATGGGGAGAAGACACTCTCTCAGGCTTTCACAGAAA